TTGTGTTGAAGAAATTCTGCAAAGGGAAAGAACGGAAATGGCTAGTGTGTGACTCTTAAACCAGTGGTTTCCTAATCCTGGCTGTTGTATGAGAATCACCTGGGTAGCTTTAAAAAAAGAGATTGTCTTTTCTTGGTCTTGGGTCAGCCCCAAAATCTTTTTTTTTTTTAAATAGACTTTATTTTTTAAATCAGTTTTAGATTCCTAGCAGAATTGAGGAGAAGGTACAGTCACGTCCCATATTCCCACTGCCTCCCCCACTGTCAGCGTCCCATACCAGAGTGGTAACATTTGTTACAATGGCTTATCATTATCACCCAAAGTCCATAGTTTACATTAGGGGTCATTCTTGGTTTGTATATTCTGTGGATTTTTAATGAATGTATAATGAAATGTATCCACTATTATAGTACCATACGGAATGGTTGGATTCCCCTAAAAATCCTCTGTGCTCTTTCTATTCATCTTTCCCTACACCCTAACTCCTAGCACCTGGTCTTTTTCTTCTTTTGATCTTTTTATAGCCTCTTTAGTTTTGCCCTTTCCAGGATGTTGGAATGATACGGTAGGTAGTAGCCTTTTCAGATTGTGTTCTTTCACTTGGTAATACGCACTTAATGGTGCTTCCATCTCTTTTCATGGCTTAATGGATCATTTCTTTTTAGTGCTGAATAATACTCTATGGTCTGTATGTACCACAGTTTGTTTCACCTACTGAAGGAAATTTTGGTTGCTTCCAAGTTTTGGCAATTATGAATAAAGCTATAAACATGTGAGTGTAGGGTTTTGTTTGGACATAAGTTGTCAACTCCTTTGGTATTTATAGCAAGGAGCCTAATTGCTGGATCGTGTGGTAGGAGTACATGTGGTTTTGTAAGAAACTACCAAACTGTCTTCCAAGTGGCTGTGTATCATTTTGCATTCCCGCCGGCAGTGAGTAGAAGTGCTTGTTCGCTACATCCTCAGTAGCATTTGGTGTAGTCAGTGTTTTGGATTTTCGCTATTCTAATAAATGTGTAAGGGTATCCCATTGTTTTAATTTGCAATTTCTTTCTTTCTTTTCAAAGATTTTATTTTTAAGTAATCTCTACACCCAACGTAGGGCTCCAGCATACAACCCCAAGATCAAGAGTTGCATACTCTACAGACTGACTCAGACAGGCGCCCCTCAATTTGCAATTTCTTAGATGTTGGACATCTTTCAGTGTGCTTATTTGCCATCTGGCTGTCTTTTTTGGTGAGGTGGGCAGGTCTTTTGCCAATGTTTTAGATTGGGTTTTCTTGGTGAGTTTTATTAATTCCTTGTATATATTGGGTAAGAGTCCTTTACCAGATAAACCTTTTGCAAATATTTTCTCTCAGTCTGTGTCTTGTCATCTCATTCTCTTGAGCAAAATCTGTTGCTCTTCAAGTGATTCTAATTCTCTGCCAGGTTCATGATCTACTGCTCTTGACTACTGTCTGTACCTTGCTTTGTGCAAAGCTAAGTGCCGTGAACAAGCCATCAGTTTTCAACCACGCGTTTTAGCCTTGTCACAGCTGGTCCCATCCTACTCTCAGTTTCCATGGCTTTGTTGCCTGTTTTTCATTGTTTTGCCCTTCAAATTCCAGCTCTTCACCTGGGTAACCTTTTTGTAGCTTTTCTTATATAATAATGCTGGATATACCTGATCTGCGGGCCCCCTTTGGTACTGGTACCACCTCTGTAGCAGGGTCCCTTCCTGTTTGCCTTTGCTGATGCAAAAACTAATGGTGATTATTAGGGTGTGAGATTAACAATGTTATTCACACACAGACTGACCCCAATTCCAAATTTTCTGTATTCTGTTAACAATTTGTAAAATAAGAGTTAAATCTTTTTATTCCCCACTTAATGGGTTTTTGGTTTATATGCAACTTTACCTTTTAAAAAGCGCATTTTAACCTTCATAAAGGTTGAATTTTCATCTCATTCCTACCTTTTATTACGTATATTTGAACAAATATTTGTTCATTTTTTATGTATCAAGAGTAGAAGGACAGTTTTCTGAGGCAGCATTAGGGGAAGAATTATTTGTTCATAGAGTGATCTGAATAATTAGGAGAAGGCAGCAAGTTTTTCTAAAGCATTTATTTTATGTCTTATAGTCCTATGTCTGTGTGTGTGTGTGTGTGTGTGTGTGCATAATCACTCAAAAATAAATATAACAGTATATCTGACAACCAGGAGATCTTCTGGGGTACCTCTTAGAACTCCCGTGTCCTGTGAGAGGTTAATTGTTGTGAATGTATTTAATACCACTGAATTTTACACTTAAAAATTACTAAGATGGTAAAGTTTACATTATGTAAAAATGATGTGTCATTTCTGCTTAAGTCATTGGCCAAAGCAGATCCATGACCAACCACGTCTAACTTCAACAGTAAAAATCAAACTAAATTTAACAAAATTAATAGCAGCTATTTTCTGCTAAGTAAAATTCACTGTTATTGATTTGTCAGGATAATGTTTTGAAGTATGATGCAAATAAAGCAGTTTTATCGTTTATGACACATTGTGCTAGTTGATCACATTTTTATTTTGTTGAAAGGCTGGTGTAAGTATAAATATTACATAAATACTTGAGATACTTTATTTTAAAGTGTATATAAATCAGTAATTTTAGGACACATGTCTTCTTTTGTAACTTTTAAAAATTTAAGTGGTCAGTTTTTCATTCATCTAACAGATATACCAGGTACATTTTTGCATTTCAAAGTTAGGGTGACTTTGTTAACATGTAGCATGACTTTATAATAGAAGGGTATACAGAAGTTCACTTAAGTCCTTAAGAATAATTAACTGCTAGATATTCTGATGTTCAGAATATATTTTTTTCATGTAGTACAGTTTCTCTGGTATTGTCATTGATTTAATTGCTACTCAAAATTCAGTGGTTCACTGAAAGAATATGAAGATTGGTGAGGAATTTTATAAATAGGCATATTTTGTTTGTAGGGTTTTTTTTAGTGTTAGCTGTCATGGGAATTTGCATCTGACAAGTGCCAGACTTAACGAGTTGGAATAAATGATTTAGTATCCACTTTACAAAAAGTATTTGTTTAACACGGTACTGTCTACGAACCTACATGAGTGTTTATCACTTTTGATATAGTCATATTTATGGGTGATGTATTTTGAAGTCAAGGAGATTATTAGTCTTATGAACAAAAGATTATATAATTATGTGGTATAGGCTAGTGGTTTTCATACTACACGTTTAGTACAACAGACGTACTGTTCCATCACTAAAATCTCTTAACGGCTGTTTTTCCTCTAATATATTAGAAAAATTAGATACAGTTTTCTCAGTTTGAATTTATTCTCTCATTTGTTGGGAATAGTGTGTTTTGTGTATTTTTTTTTCCAGTCTTTGGCACTTGTAACCACTTGTTTATACTCGTTTATACTAGTGCTAATATGCAGTGACACTTTATTTACTGTTTATAATTCAGGTTTTTAGGTATCTATATACTCGACACATATTAAATAATTTGTTTCTCACAAAACACCATGACTTCAGATTCTCCCCAACCTGAAAATCTTTAATCACTACTACAGGTGTTTGGAGCTAGAACATGTCTGGTGAGGCTGGAATTATGAGTTGAGCTAGACCATGGAGGATTGGGTGGGTTGGAATAATTAGAGAGGTTGGCAGTATAGTCCCCAAGTGTTATAGGAACTTAGAGGACAAACTGCTTCTTCTTGATAAAGCTAGGACCAGAGTCTGAATTCTGTTTTTTAGTCAGTAGTGATACCATTGGACAGATAGCATAGCAGGAAGTAGTAGTAGTAGTAGTAGTAGTAGTCAGGAACCTCTTATTAGAGAAGGTGGCAATATGCTTGTAGACTATGGAAAGGAATTCTTGAAGCCTGAGTAGTCTTAGCAGGATTGCATTAGGAAGGCATTTCAGACTCAAGGCAACGTGATGTGCAAAGATAGGTATCCTGAAAAAGCTTACCATGTTGGTGGTGGATCATGGTTTTGGAGGGTAGGATGAATGAAGTAAAGGGTCTTCTAGATGCCAGGTGCTGTTCTAGGTGTGGGAAGCACACATGGAAAAGACAAAATCCCTGCTGCTGTGGATCTTGCATTTTATTTTAGTGAGAGGAACAGTAAGTGAATAAATTTGTAAAACAGTAGGCAGTGACAAGTACTGTGAGGAAAAATTAGTATAGGGTGAAGAGTGGGTATAGAAGTTGTTTTAAATAGAGTGGTCAAGAAAGACCTCTCTGGAAGTGAAACTTGGGCAGAAAAAATGAGGGCGTAAGCTGTATGAAACGCGCAGAAGAAAGGGTAGAACACAGTTGCTGGTTGCAGCTCCACTGTAGCCGGAGCATACTGAGTTAATAGTTTATGCTCAGTAAGTGTTGACTGAGTGCCAGACACTGTTCTGAGTGTGTCACTAGTGTTCATTTAGCCCTTACAACAGTTCTACGAAATGGATACTGTTTCACCTGTAAGGAAACTGAGGCACAGAGATGAAATAATCTACCCAAAGTGACACAGCTAGTCAGGGAGCTGGAGTTGAGCCCAGTAGTTTGATTCCAAAATCAACATTTTCAACCATTCTACAAAGATGGGGAAGGGGAGGTGTAGTAGGAAATTTAGTTGGAGCAGTAGCCTGGGGCCAGTTCTCTGGGGCCCTGTAGTTCCTTATAAATATTTAGGATTTTATTTTGACTGTGATGTTAGGTTGTTGGAGGGTTGAGAAATGCCCAGGAGGTTGCTTTATGATTCTGGAGATCAGGAGATGGGTCTGGACTATACAACACATTTGTTAGTTATCTCTATTTAGGTTATATTATAGCTTAAAACGTTTCTCCTGGCCTATAACCTATTTCTTTGATGTAAAATTGAAGATTCCACATCATTATTTTATGTGTGTGTGTGTGTGTGTGATACGTATGAGAGAATGCATGTTGTGTGTGTGTGTGTGTGTGTGTTTAAACAAACTTTAATGAACTCTTCTGTTAATAGGTGCGAGAAGATGTACTAAATTCATTGAATAACAACTTTCTTCAAACGCTAAATCAAGCTTGGAATGATCATCAAACAGCTATGGTGATGATTAGAGACATACTAATGTATATGGTAAGTAGAGCTTTTTTGTTTCTCCTTTAAGAAGTTAGGCATTTCAAACCACAGTGTCTTTCTTCTTTCTGCTACGTTTAGTTGGATGGTACAGGTCAGTGTGGAAGGTGTTATTTTTTTAAAAAAATAAACTATTTCCTTTGCAGGGACCAGCCTTAGCTTATATGAGGTAGAATCTTAATTGTTCATATATCTAATGATAAGAATGGAAGACTGAAAGAGAAAGGTCTAATTTTTTTCTTGGTGTACAACACTTGTATTTCAAAATGGAAAATGTTGAAAACCTTACTAAAACATCTCTTTTTGAGTAACGGTTGAATGACAGCATGAGAGATGTATTCTCTTACAAGTTTTTAAGACCTAATGTTCTTATATTATATCTTCAATGATGGGGGTGTCATTTTATACAAATATGCTTATAGTAATTATACTCTAATAGCTGCTGTCTTAATAAATCTTTGCAGTATATGTGTTATTCAGATACATTTCCATTTCTTACCTATTATTACTGTTTTTTTGTTTTTGTCAGTCTAGAAAAATAAAAAATTAAGCAAGGCATTTTGGAAAACATTGACATGCACTAAGCTGTTTAATAACTTTCAAGGAAATTAAACTGTCGAGTTTTTTCTTACCTTTGTGTGGTTATAGAATGAAGCTAGATTCATCAAGCTTAATTACTGTGTCAGTGCAAAATTAACAAGTCTAATAACTTTTCTTGTTACTTCAGTGTTTATATTTGGGAATTGGACATATGATTTTCTTCTAAGGTTTTACTCTCTGCTTTTCACATTTTTATTTTCAGTTGCTTTAGTTTGATTTTAGTTACAATGGTGAGAGCATTTCCTAGTTTCTTTCACTTGATAGAATAAAGCAATGGTTGGAAAGAATTTCCAATGAGAGCAAACAACTGTGGAGTTTTTTGTTCTGCTCAGAGAATGCAGTCAGGCCTATTACCCCTGGTTTTATAGGGCTTAGTGGCAAGGGGGTCAGGGAGAGGCTACTTCATTTTTCAGGGGTTGATAAAAAGTATAACAGTATTTAGCCTTTCTGAGCGTCATTTTCCTTTTCAGGATATAGAGTCATTCTGTGCTGACATTTTGAGGTAAATGAGATAGCGTGTGAAAACATATAGTGCCTGGGATATAATTGTGAAATAAGTTAGCTTATACTGTTCTCCTTAAGTTCTGGATTTGATGAGTCTTTAAATTTTAACACTAACAAACACTAAAATAGAAAACCACTTGTAATTTCATGGTCCCTTACTCTGTTGATAAAAGAAGTTTTTAAAAATTATACACACACTCTTAACATAATGTTTTAAAAATTTCTGTTTTTGGGACGTCTGGGTGGCTTAGTCGTTAAGCGTCTGCTTTCGGCTCAGGTCATGATCCCAGGGTCCTGGGATCGAGGCCCGCATTGGGCTCCCTGCTCCGTGGGAAGCCTGCTTCTCCCTCTCCCACTCCCCCTGCTTGTGTTTCCTCTCTCGCTGTGTCTCTCTCTGTCAAATAAATAAAATCTTTAAAAAACAAAAAATTTTGTTTTATTTCAGTTCCCTTTTGGGGGATGGGGGTGGGGGAAAGGGTTCCCATATGAAATGTCTAACCTTGAATCCTGACTGTTATGTGACCATAGTCAAGAAACTAATTAGTTTATTCCTCAGCTTCCTTTATAAAATGAAAATAATACTGTGCTCATTGGGTAGGGTAGCCATTAGGCTTGAAGGTGCCTTCAAGTACAGCACTTAATAGCACCTGGACCATAGTAATGTGCTCAGTAAAAATCCTTAATCACTAGGATTAAGGTTTCTTGTCCCTTCATCCTTTCATCAAACCCATCTGTTAGTACCACAGCCCTGGATAAACCCAGCAACTTACCTTTCCTGGGCCTCTGCTGGAGGAAACTCCACACAGGGTAGTCAGTGCCACTATTTGTCCTTTGTCACAAGCCTCCAGTTGACCCTTCACACTGTACAGTGGTCTCATTTTCCCTCTACTAGTTTCTCTTCAAAGCTCCAGCTCTCCAGCCTCCTCATTCTTAAATGATCTTGCCTTCCACTTCTCAGAGGAAAGAGCAAGCGTCAGGGGGAACCTGTGTTCATTTCGTCCCACTATATCTACAGTTTTATCTGTATTTTCTCCCTTTTGTGTTTTTCCTTTTCCCACCTGTTTTAATGGAGGCATTGTCTCCCCTCGTTAAAGGAGGCATTGTCTCCCCTCTCCTGTTTTCCTCCTGTGCTAAGCTGGATCACATCCCTTTGTACCTTGTCAAAACCCTGAAGTATTTTCAGGTTCTACCTTTTTACTGTCTTACTCATCAGCATGAGACATGTTCAGGCCATTCACATCCTCAGAATAAAATTATACTAAATTTTCTGTTGGTCCCCTGTGCTGCCTCCCAGGGTCTCTCATTGCCATTCACAGGCAAATGTCTCATAAGAAATGTTGACCCTTGGCTGTCTCCCTTTTGTCATCTTTGACTCACTTTGAATATGTGCCAGTTGAGCTTCTTCCTCAATTATGCTGTTCAGTCTTGCTCTTACGAGGATCACCATGTCTGCACATCTCTGAAGGCAGAGATCACTGGGAATCCTCATGCTCCTTGATTTTTTTCCACAGCATTGGGCACAGTTGACTACTACTCTTCTTCTCACATGCTGGGTCCTTGGTTTCAGTGACATAGCACTCCTTCGGTACGCCTCCTACCTTTCCGACTGTTCCTTCTCAGCTCCTCCTCCTCCTCTGCCCTTTAAATAGAGGCATTCTTAGGGCTTAGTAACCTGGACTTCCGTCTTCTGGTTCATCTCAGTTACTCCCATAGCTTCAGTTAGTGCCTCTGTGCAGATGATTTCCAAATAGCATCTCCAGCCTCATTTTCTGAGATTCAGATTTGTTATATTCATTTGTCAGGTTGATGGCTACCTTTGTTGTCTGAGAGGTACTTCAAACTTGGCATTTCCAAATTAATGCATAATTGATATCATTCCATTTGTTCGTGCCAGAAACGTGGGAATTAGTCTTGTCAGTGTCTTCTCTTCTCCCTACATCATATATTTCTAGAATCTGCAGTTTTTCCGTTTTTATAACTACCCAACTAGAAAGCACCTTCATTTCTCTCTTGGAGTATTCAGTGACTAGTCTTATAACATTCATTCTGCTCCTTGCTCTTCTCTTTTCCATATTGCTCCTAGAGTGATTATTTGAAAGCACATGATCAAGTTACTGCCCTGTTGAAATTCTTATATCTCATCTTGAAATCTTCACATGTCTTCTGTGTGGAAATGTTTCGAGAATGTTTCCTCTCTTTATGTGATTTGCTCCTACTTATCCTTTAAGTCTTAGCTTAAATTTCTGGTAAGCTTTCCCTGACCTACACTGCGTACTGCCTACTGGCCGCAATTGCTCTCATTGTACCCAGTGCTCTTCCTTTGTAGCATTTATGACAATCATTATTAACAACTCTTTAGGGCCTTGTTTCCCCATTAGACTGAACTTTATGAGGAGAGGCCAGGGTCTTGTCACCACTGTGTCCCCAACACCTAGCACAGCTCCTTGCACAAACTAGGTACTCACGTGTGACTTGAATAAATAAATGTACACAGAATCTTTTTAGTAGGTTATAGTTTACACTTTTACAAAATGCTTTTTAAAAATATGCTATTGTTTGTCTGCCTTCAGCTCAGGTCATGATCTCAGTGTTCTGGGATCTAGCTGCATCTGGCTCCCTGCCCAGGGGAGTCTGCTTCTCCCTCTGCCCCTCCCTACCTTGTGCTGGCTTGCGTGAGCCAGCACTTTCTTTCTCAAATAAATAAATAAATAATCTTTTTTAAATATATGCTATTGTTGGGGTGCCTGGGTGGCTCAGTCAGTTAAGCATCCGACTCTTGATTTCGGCTCAGGTCCTGATCTCAGGATCCTAGGAACCACCCACATAGGGCTCCCCGCTCAGCAGGGAGTTTGCTTGTCCCTCTCTGCCTCCCCTTGCTTGTACTCTCTCTTTCTCAAATAATAAAATCTTTAAAAAATACATGGTATTGAGGATTTGGAGAGAAATTAAAGTGTTGATATCTTCACATTCCACAAGATAGAATCCTTTTATTTTCATAGTCTTCATTCTCTTTATTTTGCCTTTTTATGCTTAGTATTCTGGGCTTAATTAAATAAGTGCTTTTTAAAATTAAGGTAAAATTTTACACATTGAAATGTGCAGAACTGGAGTTAAAAATTATTTTGACAAACATATGCATTTATGTAACCAATACTTTGGTCAAGAACTGTAAATGCTTTTAATTGCCAAAAATCTAAAGACGTTTTCCTATTGATGTCTGCATTTTCTTTGAAGAGTTTTACCCTCATTCCAGACTTCTCAGATGACATAACCTGCTAGATAGGGCATATATCTGAAGCATACTGGTTGTACCGTCATGGATCCTAGACAGTTATCTTCTGACAATGAATACCAGCTGTAACTGTTGGAATTTTAGATCTCAGGCTCAGAGAGGGAAGACAGAAGATGCTTCACTGTCTACCCACCTACCACCTACTCCGTTAGCTGACTTTTGACAAGGAGGTGTCTGTGTACAGAATGTCATGCATCAGCTTTGATGTATAGATACTATGGGACACAGTGACTCTTGAAAATGGAATCATTGGTTATATGGAGGCAGCCACTGTCACACCTTGTTCCACATAACTTTGTTGTGTGACATGTTCAGTGTTTCAAAAAGAAAAGTGTACGTGTCTCCAGATGTAACATGTCACTTGTAGTTTCTGCCACTCCACCCCTTCCTAATGTTTGACACTTGCATGTTGAACTTCTAAGACTGGTTTGGGACTACTTAGTAAAAGTTTCATTTTCAATTTTAATTGTTTAAAAGATTAATGATTGGAGAAAGATTTGAACATTTTACAAGAAAATTTGTCCTGGTTCTATAATAGCTTTAATTGTCAATATAACTCATAAGTATATGTTACTATTCAGTTAATTTTACTTTTTAAACTATA